TTACGACTTGTTATGTCGAAATTACGACATAGCGATGTCGTTATAACCACATGTTATGTCGAAATTACGACATAGTGATGTCGTTATTACGACATGTTATGTCGTAATTACGACATAAATTTTTTTTTGAATGGCCCTTATCGGCTTCCGTATAATCCGGTTATTTCCGACCACTTTACAAAAGTGATTATCATTTAAATGAAATGGGTTCACGTTCAATGTGTAGGTGCAGATAACTTAAAAGTATGACCGGACTATTTGGACTGTGAAGTGTGAAATTAGCGTAAACAACAATTTTATTGCGTCAATTGTTTTACTCTATTTTTATATCAGGCATATATTTCATTAATTTTCATATTTTATTATTCCGGACTTTGTCATAAAATTAGACATTACTTATAACATGTATAAGTATATTACACGAAATAAGTGTCAAAATCTCTAATAGGACTGACCCTGTTTACACAGCACGAAATTGCACCGATCTTTATTTGAATCGATCTTGAGCACAAGCAAGATAGATCGTGATCTTGAGGTTACACTGCAATATAAAAAGAATCGGTCTGACCTAATACCCGTACATTTCGTTAACAAAAAATCGTAAATATAGAATATGACAACATGTGCATTTCAGGAAATAGTTGGTTTTTTAGAATTACTTAGATGCAGTTATTAATTATCTTTTTGATTCACAAGTCATTAAACAAAGATATGTGAGAAGACTATCACTTATAAGGAAAAGGTCATTTCGTTTAAAAATGAGGAGTTTGCAGCAAAGAAATAGGATTTATCTATTCAGAAGAATGATGCAAAAATATTGGAATATATTTCTTTGTTTACTTGTCTTATTCTCAAGTTCTGTCAAATTATTAAAGAATTTGTACGAAACCCCGGGAGGCAGAGATGTATAAGGATATACCAATCTGATCATGCGCAGATTTATTTGCATATCTAAATATATAACACTTTCGCTTTTAGAAGGATCGATCGCGATCGATATTAGTCAATTTAGTGTCTACACTTTAAGAAATAGCGGTTCATAAAAGATATAGATCTTTTTAAAACTACCTCTGGAGGTGGACTTTTTAAGTCCGATTGGAGATCGATCTTTCCCGTTTACATTAGACTAAAGATCGATCTTTTTGCTAGTGTAAACGGGGTCTAATTCTTTTCATTTAATTATTTATACTATGTGACAGTTTGGACAATAAACGAATACGAACAAAAAGAACATAAAGAATTTAACACAATCCTCACAACGAGGCACATGTATATGTATTGACAAAAGCAGGCAGACTATTTATAACTAAATGGTTTTTTTTTATAATTTAAAAATCTACAAATCTTAACAAAGAAAACTGTCCAGATATAAAATGTGATATTAACAGCTTTGTGAACATTTGCACCAAGTTCTTACGTGACCGTCTGCTCGTGTGTTTTTCTCTGAGACGATTAAATTATGTTTTGCCCTTTACTTGCCAAAACAATAATTATTCATGAATGATTTGATCTTATTATCATATAATTGTCATGTATTACACATCTCTGTACAAGAGGAATTAAAAAATATATATACTGATGTCAGGGGCCAGTTTCACAAAGCTGTCTTAGGATGGTCTTACGATATATCTTAGTCTTACGTGGGTTTCACAAAGTGGTCCTAACTTATCTATATAAATTGCACTTATTTTTTAAATTAACTTTGGAAATTATCTAAATTAAATTATGGAATAGCAAGGCGTTTAGTAATTTATGGGAAACACATACTACATTTACATGAATTTTTCCATAATAATAATAATAGTCTTTTATTCAAAAGCAATACAGCTTATAGAATTTACATATACAAATATAATAATAGCATTAGTGATCAATTACATGTGTATTTTACAATTAAAAACATAAATCCATGTTAATATTTAAAAATTTAAAGAACTTGCGACAGGTTTAGGATATCTTTGTTAAGATTATCCTAAGACAGCTTCAATTTAAGGCTAAGTCTGAAATATGTCCTAAGATAGTAATAATTAAGAGGATCATAAGACATGTCCTAAGAAATATCTTATGACAGGTCTTTGGATAGCTTCGTGAAACCGGTCCCTGGTGTCCCGGAAAGGTAAACATAGTTATATTAATTTGAATGAGAGACAGTTGTTTTACCCTTAACTTTTGCCAATTGTTATTTTTAAATTTAATATCAATTGCGCAAGATTACGGGAATCTTCGCCAGCCAAGGGTTACGATCCAGTCCCCCTCCTCTAGGGACTGGATCTTAACCCTTGGCTATCGAAGATGGATTACGGAATTCATTTACGCAAAACAACTGTGTGCATATTTATCAACTGATCTCTATCTTTACAAGACTTGGAAGATATTTCAGTCCTTAGTACATCATCAGTGAAGGATTAAGGGGTGCATAGAGGGCTTACGACCCACCCCTATCGATTGTACAATATGTCAATTTAAGCATTAACATGATAGCCCAAATTTGTTTCAGTCTCGCTACGCTCGGATCTTATTCTTCAGTTTTATGGAATTACACTCCCCCGGCCCCCTTTTCAAAATCCATGATCCGCCCCTGATTATGTTACCTTAAATACAATAATTCATTAATATATCTCACGGAGAACAAATTCAACTGCAAAAAGTAAGCAGTAGATATGAGTTCAGAAAAGAATAAAAGAATCATTTGTCGTTGGATGGTTCCATGATATGAAAAAGATGTCCTCCGACTATATATTGTTTAATGTTTAATGTTCATCCTAAAATATGTCATTATATCAAACACTTTAAACTGACAATTAAGTTTATTACATACACGATAAAAGTAGAGGGAAAGAGGAATTGTTATCATAATAAAATGAGACTTGTCTAAACATTACTGTTATTGCACATTTAATATTTTTGGCGTAAATGAGACTAGGTAAATGTTGTTTGAATACGAATTGCGCAAAAATATTATTGGTGCAAATGGGTGTAGCGCAAAACGACACATATAAGTGTTAGTGCTCTTTAATGACAATTTTACCATTTTCTTTTAGTATTTTGCCAAATATCGTAATACCTTTCATACATAGATAGAAACTTTAAACAATATATCAGCAAGATAAGATCTGCAAATAGGTCAGCATAGATGAAATAGTCAGTCGTCTTCTTATAGGAGTCATTGCCCTAAAATATGATGATATTTACCCTGTTTTGGGTTTTGAGTAAAAAAAACTGTAGAAGTAAGAGAGAATCTGTAAATAGTCAAATTTGAAAAAAAAAAATGTTTAAAAAATTCGTAAGGGGTTCCGTGGAACCCTGTGTCTTGCCTGCGAATGCTGCTGTCAGTGTAAAAGTGTAATGTTGAAATAAAAAGTGTCCATGTATCAGGATAATACAGAAATTTAAAAAAAAATCAAACTTTTTCTTTAGATGCTATTTCTTGGTCTTAAAGATTAGCTTCTGTCCAAGTTTCACAACAATCCATGAAGGTTTACAAATTTATCATGTCAAAAAATGTAAATCCAGACTGTCTGTTAATGTTAACTGTAAAAAACTAAGTCTATCAGAACAAGAATGTGTCCATAGTACACGGATGTCCCACTCGCACTATCATTTTCTATGTTCAGTGGACCGTGAAATTGGGATCAAAACTCTTATTTGGCATTAAAATTAGAAAGATCATATCATAGGGAACATGTGTACTAAGTTTCAAGTTGATTGGACTTCAACTTCAGCAAAAACTACCTTGACCAAAAAAATTTAACCTGACTTGACCAAAAACATTAACCTGAAGTGAGACAGACGGATGAACGAACGGACGCACAGACCAGAAAACATAATGCCCCTCCTACTATCGTAGGTGGGGCATAAGAATACTGAAAATGAAAATATATTTTTAAAAGTTTGCTTCAGACATTACTCTAAATCATAAAAAAGCTTGTCAAAGTTTCATAAAATTCTATTGGGGTTTGACAAAGTAATTGATGTGAAACAAACAGTAAAAAAAAATAAGTACATTTATCAGTAAATTACGGAAAAATGAAAATAAATATTTTCAAAATATTGCTCTGGATACTTACTGTATTTTGGTCATAAACAATTAAGCTTCTGTCCAAATTTCAAAGAATTCCATGAAAATTTGACAAAGTTATTGATGACTGAAAAACTTTAACCTCAGACTAAATCTGAATGTTAATTGTAAAAAAATTAAGTCCATCTAAATATCATGATGGTTTGACAAAGTTATTGATATTCAAAAAAGCTTTAATCACAGACTGAAACTAAATGTTGACGCCGCCGCCGACGCCGACGACTGAATCTAGGATCGCGGTGTCCCGCTTTCGCGACATAAATGTCACAGGCTAGACAAAAAAGTCAAACCAATATAAAAAATATAACCCCCCTCCCCCTAAATTTGTATTGAATATTAAACATTTTTGTAAATTATAATTATATATTTTCTATTCCTTCCGATTATTTCGTAACATTATAAACATCAGCGAAAAAATGAAAAACAACAATCTTCCGTTTCGACTTGGAAAGAAAAATAATAATTTGGTTTGATTGTTGTAGAAAAAAATGTGTCCTTTTATACTCCTTTTTAAGTTAAAAGGTTGTTTCTTTAGAATGAAATGACAAAATGACAAAAAGAAACATAATATAAACACTTTAGGATACGGAAATTAATACTGATCAAATTAACCATATATGTAAAATAATAACATATCAATTTGTACTTATAGTTAAAATATTTTTGTAAACAATCATTACTAACTCTGATTACTAACAATGCGAAAATATTCCATATATTTATTCAGTAATTTTTGTAAACCAATACAAAATTTCTAAAATAAAGGTTAAAAATGTTTATAAATTCCAGTTTTGGTTAACAACTAACCACGAAGAAAACAGCTGACGGATCGCCAGTATTAGCTCGAATCAACACAACTAAAGCGGACAGAACCGGTTCGCGATCAATGCTGTATTTATCGTGTATCGTATTTAAACAAAAATCTATTCTCCTTGAATTTATTTGACGATGTCGTTGTCTACAGAAGAGAGTATTTCTTTTAGCAATCTTAACTTAAAGGATAATAGCTTACCGGTAAAGGTAAGCATTTATTGTATTATAAATGACAATTTAATAATAATTACGGTTTTTTTTTAAAATGCGACCGGTTTGCTAACATCCTGACGACGAAAGAATACTATAGAAAAAAATTGGAATGAAACATTAAATTGACCATCTTTATCAGTTTATTGCATTCATGACATTCGGTGTAATACATGTAGAATAAGTATTTCATGGTCTCGAAATATAAATATTATGTGTACAGAGGCTAAATCAAAGTGCTGGATAGCACCTGTGGAAAGTTTGCAACGGTAGATGTGTCTTATTTCAAATAGGTTGTAGATGTGTATTATTTCAAATAGGTTGTAGATGTGTATCACTTCAAATAGGTTAAAGTATTTTTTATTGATTAAGGTCCTTCATATTTGTTTGTAGTAAATTGTATTATTACTAATTAAGCAGTTAGTTTTCTTGTTTGAATTGTTATATATTGAACAAACTCGGACTACGATTAGTAGAATGTGTGTTTAATGTTTTTTTCCGACTTCTAAATTTTTTTTACTTAAAACAAGAAATAATTGTAACATGATGCTGTTACGAAATCTCCCAAACAAAGCTCTCATAATTAGTCATTCCCATGGTCGCCTGACATTGGGCAAAGTCCAGTACAAATTGTATTGGTCTAGTAAAGTGATATGCATAAGTGACGCCTAGGGATTAACCCTGTATGTCATTCAAATCTTCTTGAAATCATGAACAGGAATATATATGGTTTAGGGTGGGGATTTCGACCGTTTACAAGTTCTCAAAGGGGGAGGGAGGGTGATTCTCAGGGGACTCTTTATTTCATTTGATTTGTTTTATTATCCCGTACGAGAATAGTGGGGATCTCGACCGTTTACAAGTTCTCAAACAGGATGGGGTGGGGGTGACCCCCAGGGACTCCCCTATATTTCATTTGATTTGTTTTATTGTCCCATACAAGAATATATATGGTTTAGGGGTGGGGGTGACCCCCAGGGACTCCCCCCTATATTTCATTTGATTTGTTAAATTGCCCCATACAAGAATATATATGGTTTCAAGGTGGGGATCTCGACCGTTTACAAGTTCTCAAACAGGAGGGGGTGGGATGACCCCCAGGGACTCCCGCTATATTTCATTTGATTTGTTTTATTATCCCGTACAAGAATATATATGGTTTTGGGGTGGGGATCATGACCGTTTACAAGTTCTCAAAAAGGGGGGGGGGGTGATTCTCAGGGGACTCTTTATTTCATTTCATTTGTTTTATTGTCCCGTACAAGAATATATATGGTTTTTGGTTGGGGATCTCGACCGTTTACAAGTCCTCAAACAGGAGGGGGTGGGGGTGACCTCCAGGGACTCCCCCTATATTTCCTTTGATTTGTTTTATTGTCCCGTACAAGAATATATATGGTTTTGAGGTGGGGATCCCGACCGTTTACAAGTTTTCAAAAAGAAGGGGGTGGGGGTGACCCCCGTTAACTTCCCCCTATATTTCATTTGATTTGTTATATTGTCCCATACAAGAATATATATGGTTTAGGGATGGGGATCTCGACCGTTTACAAGTTCTCAAACAGGATGGGGTGGGGTGACCCCCAGGGACTCCCCCTATATTTCATTTGATTTGTTTTATTGTCCCATACAAGAATATATATGGTTTAGGGGTGGGGATCTCGACCGTTTACAAGTTCTCAAACAGGAGGGGGTTGGGGTGACCCCCAGGGACTCCCCCTATATTTCATTTGATTTGTTTTATTGTCCAATTCAAGAATATATATGGTTCCAAGGTGGGGATCTCGACCGTTTACAAGTTCTCAAACAGGAGGGGGTGTGGGTGACCCAGAGGGACTCCCACTATTTTTCATTTGATTTGTTTTATTGTCCCATACAAGATTATATATGGTCTAAGGTGGGGATCCCGACCGTTTACAAGTTCTCAAACAGGAGGGGGTTGGGATGACCCAGAGGGACTCCCACTATATTTCATTTGATTTGTTTTATTATCCCATACATGAATATATATGGTTTAGGTGTGGGGATCTCGACTGTTTACAAGGTAAAAGTCCATTCTCAAATTGAAGGGGGATGGGATGACCCCAGGGACTCAACCTATATTTTATTTGATTTGTTTTATTGTCCTGTGATCATGACTGAAGACCGCGTGTGTCTATCACTTACTGTTCTCAAGTTATAGCTATTTGAAAATTTAAAAAAATATAAAATCCCATAGGGTTCTTTAGTAAATCCCTCCCTTCTGTAGGCCCCTCAAAATACCCATAAATAGACCCCAAGAAGAAAAATAATAAGATCTGAGCAAAAAAATTAAGTCTCCAAACTTTGTTTGGGAGACTTAATAACATAGTATATACGAATTTTATTATAGTCCGATTATGTAATAGGCCGAGTTTATTATAGTCCGAGTCTGTTATGGGCCGAGATGAGATACCAGGTTACTTTCGATACACTCGGGCTTTTACGTCTTGAAATATTTTAAACACGGAATGTATTTTCTCTTCAACCGGAGGACGGGAGGAAACCCCTGAAATCGGGATTATTGTATTCCCGTCGGGATAAAAGCATAACGTAGAAACTGCTGTCTCGTGTAGATGTGTATTGATTTAAATTTCCGCGCAGCGCAGATCCGCGAAGTAGTTTTTGTGATAGCCATTTTCAAAATGAAGTTGAATTCATTTGAATTATCGATGAACATTCAGTACATTTTAATTCAAGCTGTAAGCTAATCAAAATATAAGTAACTCAAAATTTCAAAAGCATCTTCCTAGAATTAGTATTCAAACACTAGTAAAACATTATCTAGGAGTAGAACGCATGCGATAGTCTGTCCAGCTTCCGGTTTGAGGCCGATGTCTTAGGAAAGTATATTGCTATAATAGCAAGCTATAGCAAACTTTCCAAAAACGGATATAATGCAAGGATTTGTTGGGCGTTTCTTTCCGGTTCCGAGCCGAGTGGAAATAAAATTTATATTTCAAGAGAGAAAAAAGTTTTTCTCCTTATACTTTTATACAGTAACTCTTGTAACCGTTTAAAATGAAATATTTTTGTTTAAAATAAACCATTTTGATTTCGAAGCTGACAAGTCAAAATTCTACGAATGCACTGGAAAATGCATGGCCAACGCAATAAACAAGTGACAACCGGTCAGGCTGCCGTTTCATAAAACAATCGTTAGCGTACGTTTAAACGTTAACCAAACGTAACGCTAAAATTCCGTTTCATAAAACAATCGTACTTTGCGATGGTCGTACATTGCGTGTGAATCGCGAACGTTATTAACGTGTGGTTAAACCTGTCGCAAAGCGATCTTTACATAAAAGATGGCCGTCGCCTTGCATACTTTGAGGCACAGCCGACGCCGAATCTTTAGACGACACAGGGTTTTCAGGGATGGATTGAAATCATGGACAATTTAAATGACACATATATCATATCTCGCTACCGTCTTGGTAGATAGGGCATATTTCAGTTTTCAGATACACTTTTACCACGCCTTGAAAGGACGACTTTGATAAATTTCTCAAAACCTCCTTTCACACAGACTTTCGGGTAAATTAAAAGAGAATTTGCGTGCTATGTACTTACAATTTATATGTATAACAAGTTATTTCAACTGTTTTATCAGAAATATCTCGACCAAACCATTTGTTGGTGATATATGAACAAAAACATGGACAAATTAAATTTTATACCAAATGTTTACTGTATACGCTACTAAAAGGTGTCTTCTGTCACGTCCGCGTTTTGGCAGGGAGTGCTTGTTTGTCCAATTATAATAACTCCGGTTGAAATAATAATATTATTTTGTTTTTAATTTTTATTCCACGAGGGCATTTGAAACTATCTAAATCTGTAGCTGTTAGCAAAAAAAAGCAGCACTCTTTCAAAAAGATATGGGAAGGGTATGAGGGTATATTTAAAAAAAAAAAAAAACTTGTGACAATGTCAGATATTTTGATACTATGCAAGATTCAACATTATTTGTTGGATACCAATTTTCATGGCTTTTGTGGGTACAGGTGGACCAATAATTTAAGTCAACGAATTATTTTTTTTTCTTTAGGCTTTGTATGCATAAATTGGCAAAACCACGAAATAAATATCAATAAATGCATTTTTTCCTTAATCCACGAACATTGATAGCCACGAAAATAAATTAATCCACAGTAGTTGACCTTCCAAATGACAGAAAAAAAGTGCCTGTGATGTACACGGATATATTTGTTCCTTACCTACACAACAGACGAAAAATATACATAAAATTGGAACTTGAACAATCAAATTTCGGGTGTGCAACAATACAGAACGGTACTAACTTCCCTTAAAATGGTTTCAATAGTTATATAAAATAGAAAATAGCTTTTGCAAATGTTATTATTACTATGAAAATGAAATGGTAGTACAACGATAGCCAAAGAACCTTAATACTAGTGCCTTAAAGTTTTAAAACAATGAGAAAGGAACGATACGAATAATTTAAAGAAAGCCATTTAGTTTAAATATATCTTATCTGCAAAAGTAGCAAAATGGTTATAAATATGAAGAAAGAAAAAATATTTTATAATGACGATAATAACCGAAAAGGAATACATGTTATCAAAAAATTCGGAACCCTTTGTCTCGCGGTTTTATGCTGCTGTCAGCGTAAAAGTGTAATGTTAACTAAGAAATTAGTCCATTTATCAGTAAACTACAGAATTAAAAAAAAAATTCTTAGATGGATACTGTCTTTTGGTCATTAACAACCTTCTGTCCAATTTCATGAAATTATACGAAGGGTTGACAAAGTTATTGATGTCTCAAACAAACTTTAACCACAGAGGGTCCACAGACTGTACCGAAATGTTGACCCCGACGCCGACGACGTAATCTATTATCGGTATGTCCCGCTTTATAAATAAATTTCCCAGGCTTGACAAAAAGGGTGGAAATATGTACATGTAAAATGGTAAGACTGGTCTAGATTGGAATGAGAGAAATTAAGAATTGAT